GGGGGGGGGTTAAAGCAACTCGGACGCTACGCTCCCACTTCAGCATTCGGACGACCTCTGTATTTGTAGTAGTCTGGCCTCGTGACATCAAGCCGTTCTATATGAAATAGAGCTTACAAGATGTCTCGAACGTATTTAGAATAATTAGGTTAACATAATTTAACAATGGTAGTATTCATAATGTGATCTTCTATGACATTCTATTAGAGGCAGTGTGTTCCCTAAAAATGCTGGTGACCCACTTACCAGACTACAATGTGTCAAAACCCTTATCAGTACAGTATAAGAGCAAAAACCTGATCTCAATTTTAATATCATGAATTTCACGAAGTACATTTTGCACACAAGAATGATGAAGTTTGCTCAGCAGTGTCAGCATTTGAAATGAATGTGTATTCTGGTTAATGAGCTAGAAAATGTAGGCAGAAGTTGTGCAAATAAGCAGGGTCTTTATTCTGACTGTATGCAGTCTTATATGACCACCTCTGTGGTGTAGTGATCACATAGTGAATTTTTTTTCAGTTTACCTAATCCTTCCAGCCACACTATGGCCCTGGGGTCAACTCAGTCTCTAACAGAAATGAGTACCAGGAATATTCTTGGGGGTAAAGGGCAGTCAGTGCGTAGGGCTGACAACCTGGCCACCATCTGTGAGCAAATTTTATAGAAAATGTGGGAACCTCAACATCTCTCAATCCTATGGACCTCCACAGACTGTTACAGGGATACCTTTACTTGTACTTATTGCGCATCCATTGTGCTGACCACAAATCACCCACTCTATCCGCAAAAGTTGGCACTCATTTTGCCAACAAGCGGTGGTCACTCAGTTGGTGTAGTTCACTTGTGAACTAAGACGATGGAGTTTAGTTTTTAGTTTTTTAGTATGCAGTTTTATAGCTTACCAGCTCTATTTTTCCTCTCATAAAGAAACTGACATTGGTGGGGAAATAAAAATCTGCCACTGCAAGTGAAAACACTATAGAAATTTAAAGGATTTAGCTTTTCATTTGAAATTTATATTTTTTTTTTGACAAACCCTAAGGTAGACCACACACCAGCAGGCGCTGAGACATGTAACATTCAAGACATGATGTCTACGATGTGACACAAAGAAAGGAGCACATTTGAAACGAATGAGATTATGAAGGCTGCCACATACTGGTCTGAGTCATGATGCTGATGTCAGCTTCATGCTGACGAATCACGAATGACGCAAGACTGCATCTTTTGTCTCATGTCTTGATGCAGTTGGTGCGCGACCGCCCTAAAAGGTACAGAACTCTAAGGCTTATTTTGGACTTTATCCATCGTCTGGTATATATAAGACAAAAAAACATTTCAGAGACTGGAGTTATGACCTGCCAGTCAGAACAGAAGTTGGTCGTAAGTCGACGACCAAGTGCATAGTGGTTAGAAATAAGTTGGAGTGCTGTTTGTAGTCAATGTAGGTATAATAGTAAGTCTAGAAAACGTATTGAATGTACACATGCTCCTTTTCTAGGTTTCAGCAGTTGATCTGCTGGCTCCTCAAGTGGGGGCAGTCTTTGTGAAGATAATTTCTCACTTCTTCAGGATAAATTAAAAAGTCAGGTTTGTACAAAGTGTTAGGATGGTACTTGGAGCTCCGAAAATGTGGCACTGTACCATCTGCTGGTTTTGAAAGGTTTTTGCAGTTGATTCTGGGTATTCCAAACATCAAAGATATACTATTCCCACAATGGCCTCACAATTGCAAATTATAATGTGAAATCAAGTGAATGTAATTTGTACAAATGTCACAGCTTTTTAAGTGATTAAAGTATTTACGATTGTTGTATTTTATTTGAACTGTCATGGTTTTCCTCTGGTGTTGGATATCTGAGTTGCAATTTAGGTCTTGTTTATGGTTAACTTTAGGTGTTTACGTGAAAGGAACATAATGAAGGTATTTACTGTAGATTAACAAGATCTTGAGTTTCAGTTCTCTGTATTAACCAAGTTACTATTTATAATATTAATCGTAAA